GGCTTGAACTCATGAGCTGTGAGATCATGACCTGAGCCGAAGTCAGACACCCAACCGACTGAGCCACCCAGGCGCCCCGCTTTCATCCTTTTCCACAATCTCCCCAGCCCAGTCACCTGCACCACCGTCCCCAGCTCCTCCTGGGACAGGCATGGGGATATCTATCCTCATAGCTGAGTTCAGAGTAGTCACTGATCATGACCTTGATCTGGGGTCTTGGGGAAGGTCCTAGCCTGGAGGTGGAGGGCCAGGATACTCATAAGTCTCCAAACTAACCCAGAGCCTTGCCACCTAAAGTGGATTCCACAGAACCACCTTGTTAGAAAAGTAAAATTCCAGCCATAGCCCCAGACCTTCTGAACCAATCAGCATTTTAATATGATCTCCAGGAGGTTCATGTGCCTGTTGCAATGTGAGAAGCACCAGGTTAGAACAAGCCATTTTCCCTCTACCAGCCTCAGTTTCCCTATAGGAATGGAGGGGGCAGAAGATCTCTGACTTTTTTTGCTTTTTTTTTAAATAGACTCCATGCCCAATATGGGGCTTGAACTCACCACCCTGAGATCAGGAGTCACTTGCTCTACCGACTGAGCCAGCCAGGAATCCCAGATCTTTGACTTCTTTGCCACAGCTAACACACTGGGAGCCAGGCCTCTGGCATGACCTGTCCTGTTGGACTACATGCATTTTGTAGTGGATTGTGGAAAGTGGAATTCTGATTCCAGCAAGGTTGGGGAAGCAATCAACACCTCTCCCGTTCGGTCTGACTCACCCCTCTCCTCTCTGCCTGAGACCCAGGTCTGGGGCAACTTCACAGGTCCTGGGATGCAGCCAATTCAATTCAATCCACTTCAGCAACATTGATTAAGCACCTTGTGTGTGTGCCGGGCTCTGTAGCAGTGAATCTCCACCCTGACTGTACATTAGAATCATCCAGGGTGCTTTTATAAACTACTGATGCTGGGCCCCACCCTGTGCCACTGGGATCAGTTTGCAAGTGAGTACTTCTAAATGTGCCTCAAGCCATGATAATGCACAGCCTGGCGGAGAACGACTGGTCAGAAGTAAGGGAGCAGTATATCCTAAATCCTTCCCGGGCCACCTCCCCAGTCGTTGCTTCCTTTTAGGTCAGCCAGCTGCAGCAGTTCTGTGGTGAGCCAGAGGCAATCATCAGGAAATTCCCTGGATATCATAACCCGTGACAGCAACATCTAATTAATCATCAACTATGTAACATGATCCTGACCCATAACGAAGGGACCTGCTGAGCCTTTGGAAACCTGTCTACTGGCCTTCTCCAGACAATTCCTTCCAGATCCAGGTATCCGTGCCCGAGGATCCCAGGCTGATGGGGGCCCAGCTCTCCTCCCAGGCTGGTAAGTGGGAGCCCTAAGTTTGGTCTGCAAGGGATCCAAGAGGCAGAGGGGAGGCTGTGGAACCTTGGGCGAGTCAGTTTTCCCTAGGGCCTCAGTTTCTTCATCTGCAGGCTGGGGCCAATGCGATTCACCTTGCCTGACAGCTTATAGGGCTGTCAGAAGCACAGACCAAAAGGTTGCCAGGCACAATAGTTCTCTGAGAGCCTCACCTGAGACCACAGCGTTCCCTTGGTGTGCAGGGGCAGGAGAGAGAGAATCTGCTTTTACTGCCAGAGATCCAGACTGCATCTCAGAACGCTGCTCCCTCCCAGGCAGAGAGCCTGGAGTCTCAGCCCTTGGCTCCCTAAGGGCACCAAAGGCTCACACACCAGCAGCAGGTACTGCCCCGAGCTTGGGGGGCAGGGAGGTGGTAAGGACGGTGGGGGCCAAGCTTCTGTTGCTGCTGCTGCTGCTGGGGCAACTGTGTCTGGATTCCAGGTCACGGTGGTGCCATGGAGGAGGCAGCAAGGAATGTGGGGGGCAGGAGTGGGGCCCCGGCTCCTCCACTCCTGGCTGTGAAGATGTGCAGAACCACCCCAACTCAGTTCCCTCTGGGTGCTTCCCTGCAGGTTGTGGGAGGAGTGAAAGAAGCTGTAAGGGTTAACAGGTGCCTGGCACCCAAGAGGCTTGGTGACTGGAGGGGTGGTGATGAAGAAGGTGATAGAGATCTGGGGAGGTCCTTGCTGAGCAGGGGGCTGACCCTCAGTTACTTAGATTCCAAGAGGCTTACTGCCAAGATTTTCTTTGAATCTACCTGGGGG